GTGGCTGGCAGGCTGACCCGTGTGCGGGGTAACCCGCGCACGGGAAGCTTCACGGCGGTTCGAGTCGTCAAACATTAAGCAGCGGAGGTGTGCCGAGGGGGACCGGGAGGCGGTAAGCCGTCGTCGCCCGGCGCTGCTTGCAGCACCATGGCGAGGGCGCTAAGAGGTTCCTCTTTTCCGCGCCCCCCCCCGCAAGGCGCGCGATACACACACACACACACACACACACACACACACACACACACACACACACACACACACACACACACACACACACACACACCGCACGGATAAAATTCTTATCAACCTTCGCTGTGTTTTTGTGTGAACGGCGCTTCCTGGTGTTTAACCATTTGATTGAATAAGATCTGAAATATGGTTCTGGTGGTCTCGACACTCCTCCTCGCCGCCGGCACGCCGGACGCGCTGCAGCTCGCCGCCTCGCCAAAAGTGCTGGCGGTAGAGTCGATCCTCGCGCCCGCCGAGGCCTCCACCCTGCTTTCCGCACTCGTCGCCCTACCCGAAGACATGTGGCACGACCCACCTCCTCTGGGCGACGACGTGAACCGCGCCTACCACGTGCCCGTGGCCGAGTACCCGATGCTTCGCAAAGTCCTCGACGTCTTCTCGGACCTCTGGGGCGTCGACCTGCGCAGCAGCACCCACGTCCCCGCTGCGCGCCACCCGCCGCGCTCGGGCGGCCTCAAGCCGCACTATGACACAACTGACGCGACCGGGGTTGTGTACCTGCACTCCACCCCAGAGGGCACTGGCGAGCTTCACTTCCCCCTGGCGAGCCCCGAGCTCACCTGGGCACCCAAAGCGGGCGCAATGGTCACGTGGGCCAACAACGTCCTCCTCAAGAATGGCACAAGTGTGCTCGTCGAGGAGGCGGCGCACCTGGTCACCCCAGGCACGAACGCCACGGGACAGCCCCGCTACACACTTAACCTCAACGCCAACTTCCTCCGCCCGAAGCCGGACCGGCGCCTGCTCTTCGCCGACAAGCAAGGAGGGCCGCTGCCGGGCACCTTGGTGGGGTTTGACGGACTCGAGGCGGGCCTTCCGTCGCGCAAGAGCCTCTTCTCCGCGGCGGCCGGCTTGAGCATGGTGTTCAAGGAGGAGGGGACGGGGAGCTGGATGCGGAACATGAAGAACGCCATGCGGGGCATGGTAGTCCTCGAGTCCCAAGGCATGCGGTTGTCCACCATGGGTCCTCCCTATGAGCTGACGGGGAGCGGGATGCGGAACATGAAGCCCATGGTGGACCTCTCGATGTAAGGTGGGTCGGGTGCCCCCGATGTTGTTTATGCGGGGTATGGCATTGGGTGGCATACCATACTCCACCACCATGCTCGCAAGGATGCCATTCTGACCGCGCTGGACTTGGGGGAGCACCATGCGCAGTTCGTGTCTCAGGGTATCAAGCGCGTGAGCGACTTGCGCCTTACATCGAGAGCGAGCAGGACTTGGAGGTGGTTGGAAAGCAGAAAGTGAGCGGCGCAAATTACTGCGCGTCATAAAGGACGAACTGTAGTGCCCGTGTGTTTGTAACGTGCAATGCGGCGGGGGGCTCTACGCCTCTACCGTGGGGCTCTACGCCTCTACCGTACCCGTCCCGGGGGTGTGACTCTGCATGTGGAGATGCCCCTTATCCGTCGGCACCCCAGCGTAGGGGGCGTGGTGAGCCCTCCTTTTGGTATATTTAAATCAAAGTTCTCCGACCGGCCTCTAAAGAAAGAAAGAAAACAGACAAGGGAGAGATGGGAGGACGGCACGCCGCCACCACACAGGGATTTTAAGGAGAGGAGTGTGGTGTCTTTGCAGTCTCTCGCCGATTCTCGCTGCAACCTTGAAGCCACGGTACGCCCGCCCTCGCCTGTCGGTACGTGACTTCAGGCGTGTGGTCTTTCTGTGCGGCGTCCTCACCATCGTACGGTACTAGTCCTCTCAGAGTGCCATGCGTCTTGAGTGCGATGCGCCAGTAGGCGGGCATCGTTTCGGGGAGATTGAGAAAATCGCACGAGGAGTGGAAGAGCAGTCGCCCCATGCGGAGGTGCCCGTATGCTCGATTGACGTAGGACGCCACTATATTCACGCCTTTGTGTGACGATGGAGTGACCAGGCGGCTCACCTGGCGCTGGTATCTAGGCTGGTATAAGCTGCGTGTGAATATCTCGATGTCCTGGCAGTGTTGTCCGCCCTCGGGGCGCTCTTGGATGAGCGCTTCTCGTTGGGCGGCGTCTGCGACTATGTATGTATGTAGTAAGGTGAAGAACAGTCAGGCTCGGACTGGACACCAACGCGGTATGGGTGGACGCAAGACAGATGATGACGACACGCACGAGCGACACACAGACACAAACAAGCTCACAAGACACACAGCCAGCGGGCTGCCACACATCCTGAGTGGGCGTACACATCACTCAGGCCACGTCCCCCCTGTCGCCCCCCCCAGCACTCCAAGGTGCCAAGAGACAAACAACAGCACAACAACACAGACAGGCGACAGGGGCGAACGTGTGAGACTAGAGCAGGCTTGCTCCGCCTCTAGCAATCTCGTCGCCGGCCGCAAGGCACGGACGAGACCGTGCGACTGCACTAGGTACCACGCACAGGATTGCACGTGATTCTTGATGACTATTCCGGCCCCGACATACCTCTTCCCACCCATCGCTCATACCGCTTCTCCATCTTTGCCGTCACAGTCTACTCCCACTTGCGGGCTACCCAACGCGGCCAAAGGATATCCACCTCGAGAACCTCGAGAGTAAGCCTCGCGCGTTTTTCTTGATTTTAACTTATCCAGGGCCGGCGCTGCTGTGCCGCATCGGCTCTCCGCGCCTCCTCCGCGACGCAGCCAAGCAGCATGGCGCTCCTCCCGTCGGAGCGAAAGAGCCTCCTCATCTGCGGCGGCGCGTGCATGCTCGTCCTCTTCACCCTGATGGCGATGAACGGCGGCGGCGGCCGGCACATGTCGATGCGAGACTGGTCTCCGCAGCCAGCAGCGCCTCCGACCTCGGATCTGCTGAACGAGATGAAGGCGCTGCAGACGCGGATCGCCGAGCTGGAGCAGCGGCTCGGCGCGCGGCACGACCGCCGGGCGGATCGGCGCGAGAGTGCGCTCGAGCGCGCCGAGCACCGGATCGCGGCGGTGTTTGCAGAGGACACCTCCGAGGTGGTCGTCTCCACCACGCCCGCCGCGCTGCCGACGGCGGCGGCGGCCGTCAAGGGCGGGGCCCACGGCGGCGACGGCGGCGGCGGCGGTCCGAGCGGCGGCGGCGGCGGCGGCTCTGCCGGAAGCGGCGCCGTCGGTGGCGGTGGTGGCAGCGGCGCTGTCGCCGCCGCGGCGCCGCTGCGAGAGCTGGCGCTGCCTCCTGCGGCGGAGGGGGTGGTCCCGAACGCGAGCTGGTGGAGCGACCGCATGGTCGAGCTCCCCGGAGGCATGTGGTGCCCTAAGCCGCCGCCGTTTGCCTCTGCCAAGCCGGCGCTGCCGCTGGTCAAGGCGGGCGAGGAGAAGCCGCGGCTGACCAGCGAGCTCGCGAAGAAGCACGCCTCGGCGGACAACATGCTCATCGCCACGTACGTCAACTACAACCGGCTCGACTTTGCCTTCACGCTGGTCCGCCACCTCATCGCGCTGCAGCAGCCCCACTACCTCGTCGGTGCGCTCGACGATGAGGCGGGGCGAGGGCTGCAGGCTCGCGGCGTCCCGACCTTCTTCATGTTAATTAATTGAGTAACTAATTCATTAATTCACTGCAGGCTCGCGGCGTCCCGACCTTCTTCATGTCGTCCGGGCTGACAACAAAGGACTACGGCTGGGGCACGAAGAACTTCCGCGAGCTCGGGCTGCACAAGGTGAACCTTGTGCTCGAGCTCGCGAAGACCGGCGTCGACTGCCTCACCATCGACGCCGGTCAATGACTCAATTAATTAATTCATCAATGAGTTCATCGACCGCTAGGCGTCGACTGCCTCACCATCGACGCCGACGCCTTCATCCTGCGTGACCCGTTCCCGTACTTCCGCAAGCTCCCCGAGGCGGAGGTTCTCACGTCCTCGGACCATCTCGTCGCGACCAACGGCTACACGGACGACGGGCTCGAGTCGTCCTCCGGCTTCTCGTCCGCCTTCAACATCGGGTACATCTTCATCCGCGCCTCCGCGCCCGAGTTTGTGCAGCAGTGGAAGGAGGCGTGAGCAGCGTCTCTTCACTCCTCGAGCTGTGAGTAGGCGCTCGAGTTTGTGCAGCAGTGGAAGGAGGCGTGAGCAGCGTCTCTTCACTCCTCGAGCTGTGAGTAGGCGCTCGAGTTTGTGCAGCAGTGGAAGGAGGCGTGAGCAGCGTCTCTTCACTCCTCGAGCTGTGAGTAGGCGCTCGAGTTTGTGCAGCAGTGGAAGGAGGCGTGCTTTGCACACAAGGACAACTAATTAATTAAGTAATTAACGACGTGATTAATTAAGTAATAGGCGTGCTTCGCAAACAAGGACGCGTGGGACCAGGCGGGCCGTCGCCTCGAGACACAATCTCGGCGGTATCTCGGCTGCATCTCGCATCCGTCGTCTAGTCCGCACCACAAGAGAGTGGACTCCATCAGCAATACACACACGAGGTTGGCGCGCGGGCGGTCAGGTCCTCTTTGCGAGTGTGCTGCGGCGCGGCGGCGGCGGCGGAGTGGACGAGCACCGCCTCAAGCCGCTGTTCAAGAAGGCTGGCGGCGGGCAGGTCAAGGCGGG